TTTATTGCGAGTGTGCAAAAATAAAAGTAAACATTTACACTTTAGCAGACGTTTTTTTCCAAAGCATTTTGGATTTTTCTTTTCATTCTTGATCTGTTCTGCATACCGTCACATTCAAATGATTTGTTTTGGAGAGAAGGGAACTAGGCTATGATTGTAGTGTTTATAATGTTTATACATTATAATATTTCATTTTATTTGGTATTATTTCTGGTATTATTACAAAACTTTCCGCTGCTCACAAAAGAGTGGAGAGAGTGGGTTAAGCAGTAGCACCAATCAACAAGAGCGATTTTGAATTTAAGAAAGCTGATTGGTCAATAATATGTTGAGGACCAATACATAATCTACAAACCATGCTCCAAATACATCTACATAAACCCGCAATCGCTCCGTCTAGTATGCACGCATGCACTGTCACGATCTAATGCACTTTTTAATGCCGGATCTTTAAAAACAAATACCGGAATGCAATAATCCAAAATCGGACATTTTCCGGAACAGGATCCGGCTCAAATTAAGCACTGCCAACAATCCACTGTTTATTGAACTCATCTCCCTGTATTGATTTTTCCGCTGTTTATAAAGACAATTAGCTGCCGATATGCTCACAGCAGACGCTTGCAACCTCTTTTCCCTGTCCTCCATTTATTCAACCATTATCCAGCTACTTAATAATCTATTTTCACTTAGCTGCTGAGAAAATCGATAATAGAGATGAAAACACAATGAAATCTTTCCAGGTAAGCTCTATAATCCATCACTTGCTATTAAGACGCTCTGACTAGCTTGACAGAGTTCTTCTGCTTCCTAAATGTTGAATGCTATCTTACTGTATTTTATTTTAATTATATACCTTTACATCAGCATGTATTTGAAAAATAATGTCTGTAATGTTGGGCAAGACTTTGAATTCCCTTCAGTATGAAAAATGAAATAAAATATGTAAAAAAAAAAATTAAAAAAAAAGTTATTAAAAAAATAAAACATGCAAAAGTAAACAATCGAAAATACATTGAAAGTAAAATAATAATAAAAAAATAAAAGTTAACAATTGAAAACAAAAAAAATTATAATTTCATAAAATAAAATGAAAAGATATGAACAAAACAAAAAAGCATTAAATAAGAAATTATTATATTAAATTATATTATTAGGGTAACATATATATTGAAGTTTATTTCACATCATTGGCAAATATATTTTCTCCTTTTTTTAAGAATAAATAAAAATATTTTTAGTATTATACTTGCTTATATGGAGTATATGGAAGACGCATAACACGCACAGTTTAACTACAGGACATTCGGTGTGATCATGACAGACATGTTCATTTTGTAGCTCTGCTCTAACACACATATCTAAAAATAAGCATACGTATGAAGCCACTGAAGTGCATCTGATTGCAGTTGACTTGGCAATTGCCTGCTGGCCACAGTGGCTGTCATAGCTCTGGGATAAAGGTTGTGGGATTGAAGCTCGACTCTGTTGCTTTTATCATTGACTTGATTAGAAATCATCCTCTTGCTGTTCCCCGGGAAAAAAAACAAAACATCCCTTACTGCCTCGATCAAGTGGTCCATGCAAGAAAAAACACAATAGAAACGTCAGATGTGCATCACATGATCCTGAACAGACATGATGGCTCATATATGCAGAAATACACTCATGCATGCGAAACGAACACACACAGCGCTTTGAATGTTAATGAATGCAAAACACAAAAGCAGCATTTGAAATGCGTTTTGTCAAACAAATTAAACATTACACATTGCATTACATTTGACTCACGAATCCGTTTGAACGTAAACATCAACAGTTTAGCGTCACATGACTGAGCACAGCCAAACTAGCATGTGCTTGTGGTCACGTCCATCCTAATGCAGTTATTTGTGCAGAGGCGTGAAACCCTTCAAGACACAGTTTTACACTCATTACGCTGAGGACCAAACTGTCCATGTTTCACCCTAGAAGTCATAAAATCTTTCCTGCATTTTTTTTATTTATTTTTACTTCTTCTTCAGTCACAGTCTTCAGTGTTTTAATGAGGGCTGCCAGTGTAATATATTAATTTAGCACAGTTATTTATTTATTTTAAATAATGCATTAAAAACAAACTCCCACAATCCTCCTGAACCTTTAAATTATCTAATAATTGCTTAGCAAATATTGACAAGATTAATTTGATGAATTAATCAGAATGTGATGTAATTATATCAAGTTATTTGCAGGGTTATTATCGTTAAGTAAAACTAAAACCATAAAAACAAACAGTTTTATTACTTGAAATAAAAGAAATATTAACAAATAAACAAATTTAATTTCAGCTAGTTGCCAAGGCAACATTTAGTTTTTATTAAATATTAACTTTAATGCTAAAATTACGGTGGCCGAGAGAGCTCAACGCGCTGCAAATGAAAAAACACATGCAAATAGAAAAACATCTGCAAATTAAGAAAACATCTTCATCAATTTGACAACACACGCGCTGCAAATGCTCACAACACAACCAAATAAAGGAACGCGCTGCACAAACAGAAACGTGCTGCAAATGCTCACAACACAACCAAATAAAGGAATGCGCTGCAAAAACAGAAACGTGCTGCAAATGCTCACAACACAACCAAATAAAGGAACACGTTGCAAATAGGCACAGACCACATCGGAAATGTTTAGGGGAACCGCAAAGTGACGAACATGGCTGGGATATATGTATCAATGTTTGCTCTGAAAGGTGAGATTTTTGTTTATTTTAACATCCTGATCATATGATTCCTTTGCTTCTTCGTTTTTTTTTTTAATGATTAGCCTAAATAAGCTGACGAAATACACAATTAACTGTGAAAGCATGTAAGCTGGCTAACTTACTTTACAACTTCCCTTACAAAAATTAACCATATGGTTTTACTATTAAAATTAATTAATTAATAAATAAATGTATTATGTAATAAATAAATAAAAACAAAAAATGGTTACTATAGTTAAACCATGGTAACCACAACTTAACCATGGATTTACTACACTAACCATACCATCTAAACAGTTTGTCAAATGTCTGGGTGTTTTATTTCAAAGACTTTACAGCTTCATTAAATGTACAAATGAATTTGCTTCCAAAAGCAAATGTAAAACTGGTCAAACCTTCACTTATTCATTTTTAGTCACTGAAATGTACATGAAGCAGAATAGAGCAGTATGCATAAATGTTTGACCACAAATGTCAACCACATCAAAAGATCTATAGTGGGAATCATTAAACTCTTGCAGCGAAATTAGCTGAGGAAATGTATTCTTTCATGCCTGGAATGAGTCAAACATTCAGTTCTAAAGACACTTTTCCCAATCCAATCAAATACCAATGGATAAAATCAAGACCCACACCAACAATGTTGCCTCAAGTATGCTTTTTTCACTTAGAAATATGTCATTACAGACGTAAAATGGGTTGTGAATGCTGTTACATGCTGTTAAACTTTGCGTTATTAACATATATCAGATTATAAAATTGGCAAAAATAATTTAAAATGTTCAAGGAGCAAGACTGTAAGAGAAAGCAGAGGAAGTGGGCACGTCACCATCTGCATTACTGCAGAAATCCCTCTGATCTATATAAAAGAAAAAGGCTAAAAAGAAGTTAAACAGAAGGGAAAAGCTGAAATCACTTAAAATGTGAGAGATGTGGTTTTAGAGAAGATCATTCAAAAATCATTTAGCAAGAAAAGGGAACACTTTGATCCACAGCATGAAGTAACAAACTGTAGAAGCATAAAACGTCTTCAAAAAGAGACGCGTGTGAGTGTGTGTATATGAGCTGAGGTGAGGAGTTCATGTAAGGGAGACAGGAAGTAGCAGAATGCAGAACTGAGGAAGAGGAGCGCAGAGAGATCGTAGGGAAGTGAATCTCAAGGAACTGAATGATTCCGGTTCATTTAGTTATTTTGAGAGAAGACAATGAACACTACATGGAAAACAGTTAAGTCTGTCAAATCAGCAGAATAGAAACTGTATTATTAAAGTAACTGTATTATATACTGTTATATATACTATATATATATATATAATGTATATAACAATTAATTACGTGCTCGAAAACCACAGCCGACTGAACAAGGTATGCATCATGACAACGCCTCTGTTTATATTATAAATTCTCTATCCTTTTATTATTTTATTTATTTATTTATTTTGGCAGATAAAGACATTCCATAACAGTTGGAAACAAACATCATAAAAATAATTCAATTACAGTATTTTTTTTAATGGAACCAGTTGATTCCTAATCCTAAACATAAATGATTAAGAACTGATTACAATTAAATAAAAACAATTTCTTAAATTAAATTAACTTTTTTAGTACACAATAATGCATGTGCAGTTTTAATGTACAATTTGTTTTATGATGAAGAAATGTGGCTTTTAAAAAATTATGAAATTTAAAGTTTTAATTGATTATTTTTTACTTTATTTTGATATACCTTAACATTTTTAAGTATAAAAATGGCTATTTAAAGGAAATTAAAATTCAATAATTGAGGCATTGTAAAATGTTTTATTTATGTATACACAACAAGGGTTGTGTGATTTCAAAGTTTAACATTTCTGATAAATTATGAAAATTAATAAAACTAATTCTTTTTAATTGATTTAAAAAAATGTTTCACTTTTTTAGTTTTAACATTTCTAATTATTTATTACTATTATTCTATATTTTACATTTACTGTAACATTTTTAAGTAACAATAAAAATGCTAATTAAATTAAAATCAACACAAAAATAACAATTGTAACGATTAAGAACTTGTACAAATTAAAACATTTCTGAATACACAACATGAGCTGTTCGATTTTACAGCACAAATATTTCTGATTATGAACAAAGGTGGCTGTTAAAAATTATGCAAATTAATTAAACAATCGGGGTTGAGGTTCAAGTGTGCTTTCCAACAATCCAATTAAACCGAGTAGCAGAATAATGTAGTAGAACAGCGGATGTTTCTCACCATTGAAGCTGACGTTTCTGATGTATCCCAGCAGCTCCTTGCCATCTATGTTGCTCATGCGTGGACAAAGTCCTGGATATCCCGAGCAGAGGTCCCGATGCATGCGGTGCAGCGCGTTGGCCATAGCATACACCGCGTCCATCACAAACTGCACCTTTCCCTCTTGCTCATAAGTGGAGTCCCTGCCGACTTTCTCCAACCCTGCAAAAAAAAAAAAGAAGAGATGAGTCCAGTGCAAAACTTTTAAGCTCTCAAATCTGGCCCATAAGAGTTCAGAGATCCTGTTTTTCATTTATTTCCCTAAACATGCCCAAGTGACAGGCTTGGTGCAAGATCTTGGCTGACTCTGGGATGAGGCATTCATTTATATGCAAGTTTAATTTATTTGCAAAGCTTTTCAAAGGATGTCCAAAGCATGCCAAACTAATTCACACAATGCCTCAATGCCTAATGATGAATTCATGCCGTGTTCTGTGATAATTAGTTTATTAGCGCCGACTGGAGTGACCTTTCCACTGAGGTTAGCTAGAGAAAATGACAAAAACAACACCAACAACAATACGAGTGCAAATCTACTGCAAAGACTATTGTATAACTTTCCTCCAAACCCTGAGTTTGAACACGGTCCGTTTTTTCACCTTTTCTTAGCATTAACTCGATGTTATCAGCATCACCCACATGTATAATCTGAAATCCGACCCTGCCGTGACTCTCTATAATATCTGGAGTTAATTGTGGAGTGTTGATACCTCCATTTATGTTAAATCCTGCGTAAAGCAACAAAGGAGAGCTTTAAAAATGGTCAGTAGTGGAGAGCAAATTAACAGGTACAGTCGGAGCGCTCGATCATTGAACTTGTCAGGCTGGAATTTATAGGGACTCATTTACAGAGAATGAAATACAATGCGTCTCGGTAGTGGACCGTAGTCTACAACTCAACTGCATGGGAAGTTGAATTTTATCTCACCAGAGGGAGCACTTACTCGTCTTGTTGGTTTAATGAATCACCTGGGTTCAGCCACATTAAAGTGATCTTGGACACAGTATCTTCGGAAAATGCCACAAACTAAACCACTTAATCTCAAGCAAAGACTGGACTATGAACTTGAAATAAGTCTCTAGACTGCAAACGAAGCCAACTTTGGCTGCCAAACATGGTTATGTGACCCCAGGGGATTTAAGGTGGTCCTGGGCTTTAAAGATCCTGTTTTTTGTTAAAGTTTTATAACAAACAAACAAATAAATAAAAACATCTTAATCATGTTAACAACCACACAATTGCGAGTGTGACACTAGTTTTACACAACAGTCAAATAAACAAGACATTAATATTTAGCAACTTACATTTTGGACAGTATTGACAGGTTACTTTGTCTATTTTTGCTCCGTCAACAAAAATATTTCCAAAGCCACAGCAGAACTCTTGCAAGAATCCGAAAAACACACAGTGATGCTCCTGAATTTTTTTTTTTTTAACAAATTAGTTGGGTGAATGATTCAGTGACTCATTCATAATGACAGGCTTGTGTTCACTCCTGAATGAATCTGTGTTTTTTTTGTGAACTAATCAGTTGAGTATATAATTCAATGATGCACTCATAACAACAGACTTGTGTTTGTTCCTGAATTAATCTGTTTTTAAACTAATCAGTTGAGTAAATGATTCAGTGACACACTCATAACAACAGTCACATGTTTTGTTTCTGAAGGAATCTGTTTTTTAACAAATCTGTTGAGTGAATGATTCAGTGATTCACTCATAGAGGCCTGTTTAGAATTAAAGTTGTTGAACGAACCTGTTGATAGAATGAGCGAATGACTCACTCACATGTTGCCAGCTACTGCCATAACAGTGTGACACTGCTTTTATAAAACAGTCAGATAAACATGACAATTACTTTCATTTTAGACACAATATTGCCAGTTACTTTGTCTATTTTTGCTCCATCAACAACAATATTTCCAGATGAGTATCTGACAAACACAAAGTAGTGAAGTTTCTGAATTAATCAGTTTTTTGAACAAATCTGTTGGGTGAATGATTCCATGACTTGTGTTCGATCCTGAATAAATCTGTGTTTTTAATTAATTCAATGACACACTCCTAACCACAGTGTTGTGGTTGAGTGAATAATTCAGTGATTCACTCAGAGTTTTTTTTTTCAGAATGAATCAATGTTTTTGAATGAACTGGTGGAAAGAATGAGTAAATGACTCACTCGTAACAACACTAATTTGTTGCCATCTACTGGTGTAACAGTGTAACCTACAGAAAGAGTCAGTAAAAAATCCTCAACAATTCACAGTTTGACACAATATAATATAATATACAACATAATATTTTATTTTAAAAAAAGAAATGCATTCTGAAGCATTTTAGAAACACCTTTGCAACTACCCACAACATCCAAGTTGTGTGAGTTTTGCATAGGCAAGTGACACTATCAAAATCCACTGTGAAACTGAAGTTGAACATTCATTTTTAAAAGCCATACAATTTCAAAAGTGTCCTCTTGGAAGGCAGAGTGGCCAATCTTGATGCATACAGTTAAGCCAAGCCATTATGTGCATAAAACGCAGTCCAAACACACATTAGTCTCATTATCAGTCGCAGATCTGAAGGCTGAGAATGCCTGGAGGCATGAGAGGGAAGGATCTTTTGTCTAAATGACTGATGAGTGGCAATGTAGAGGACACAGAGCCCAATCATTAAAACCAGCATCTTAATTAAACTTCATTTACGGGGCCTAATTCAATTTGCCCCGGACGAGACCAACACATATCGCTGTTTCATGGCAGACGAACACAGCTCTGCAGTGGTTAGATGGGAAAATTAGATAAATGACAAATTAATTACTGAGATTTTCTTTCATCAAGAGATTAATGAAGAAAAAAGCAGGAACAACATCAGAGGCCATTTTTGCTTCTGACAGCTTCGAATACATTTCCATTAATGGAGTGACATTACATCTGCAGTTGTTCATCATTTTTTAAGCGTCACGATAGAGACGAAACATCTGCTGGGCTAATTTTGTGACTGTGCGATATCCCAAAATGCAATGTGCTTACCTTGACTTTGCATTTGGATGAATTAACATCAATAAATAACCAGAAGTCTCCTTGATTATTTGCTCTGACTGCCAGAAGTTAAAATATTTTACACAAAATTGGAATAAAAATACAAAATGAGTATTATAAGGTGACAGTAAAGGCATATATATATATATATATGCAGTGGAGTCAGATGCATGATTCCTTTTCCCACATATCTACCTTTTTTCTTCTCCAATTAAAAAGGAATGTAAATCAGGCCACACATTTGCATAGGATGGTAATATTGCCCCACTTTTTGACAGGATCGAAAAGGTATGAGGGGAGGTGGAAAAGTAGCATGCTAAATCTTGGAGTTTTAATTAAATCTAAACGTGAAGACATTTATTGAAGATGGCTGTGATGGCTACCTGACTAGATTAAATCATCAGAACTTTCTCTATACAAATGGCACTTTTTAATGATCATGTATTCATTTGAAGTTTTAGCGCGAGGGTAGCTGACATCCCAAGCTGTGATATAGCCTTCAATTGCATCTGAAAACCCTTTGGCAATTTTTATGAACTAGCTAGTGACAGAAGTTCTGCACAGGCACAAGAAAAAATGTGATAATCTTAAACATTAATCATTACAATGAGAGCCTTTCGTGAAATGATTGTGCTGCATAATGAGAACTTTATGTATTTACCTGTCATTTTGCGAGTTCTCATCCACAGTTCCTTAATTGCAGACACAGCCTTCTGGATTAACCATACTCGCTTGTGCCTTGCTCAAGGGCATGCTGGGATGTGGAAGTCTTGATTCAAACCTAAATCTTTGGTATCACCACCAAAACTCAATTATTTAAACTTACTACTACACAACTTTTAAATAAATCATGTTTCAGGAGAATCGAGTCTCCTGCTTCTCAGATGTTTCTTCTGAGGAAAATACCTCTAGAGGCAACATCTCAAACTGAAAAAAGAAGTTTGAAATCATAGATTTCAATATGATCTCAAGCATTTCTCATCAAATTCACTGTGCTCTTGCCTCATTTGTGTCTTTCTCCTTTTTAGTAAAAACATCTGAGACAAAGGTGATCCCATGCTTTAGCTCTTTATCTTTCCATTCTTCCTTTTGCGTGACTGACTGAAGTTTGTAAACTGCTGCTGTCACTTGAACCCAACCTCCGCCCCCCTCCCGGTGGGCTTAAATTGGTTAAATATAATTACAAATTGTATGTCTCATTTGTTTCTCTTGGCAACCTTGTATGACAACTCTATAATCTCATCTATTGTCCTCTAGAGATCTCAACCTCTCAAACTGTGCTCGGACATGACAAGATACCAAAGACTGCAATTAAAAGTGACAAATCTCAACATGAACTCAAACATTTCTAATCTAATTCTTCCCAGGCCAAATGATCTGAGCTATGCTAATCACAAATGGGATGCCTCATTTGTTTCTCCTAGATAATAATGGAGAGTAAGTGTAAACTTCTTCTCAAGATGTTCTTCTCAGATGTTTCTAAGAGCCCGTTCAAAAGAGATCTCAGCAATGTCTCTATGCTTGGATTTGCCAAGACATCAAAATCTGCAATCACAATCAGTATCAGTAGGTACGTTTACATGGACACTTTTTGCTTCCAGCGGAATTAATTCATTCTGATTGACGAATCCGAACGTAGTGTTTACATGAACACTAAATAAAGTGATTGGGTTGATATGCGTGTTTATATGTCACAAGCTTCTGATCAGATTTACTCTTTTGACATGCGCACACTTCATGATAATACAGAGTTTCCCACTGTTGTCGCATACTGTTTTAAAAAGCACAGTTGATATTTATCTACTTCGGGTCCTAATTAGGCGACGACCAGCACATGAACTGTTGTGCCCACTAGCTCTTTGCAGCTAGTGTGAGTTCAAACATTTCTCATCAAATTATCTCAGTTTTATCTAAATTCATAGTATAGCCCGTACTCTTACTATATTGTCTCATTTATGTCTTTATTTCTCTTAATACATTTTATGAGACACATCTGAGACAAAGTTGATGCTCAAATGAAACAACTGAGAATGCCAGCTTAATTAAATGTAATTAAAATTACACAAGATGCCTCAGTTGTTTCTCCTAGACACCAATGAGATTAAATTGAGATTTTGCTCAAG